TTGTTAATTACCATAACAGACATTTAAAACGTCCTATATGTTAGCTAACCACATTAAAAGAAAGAGAATGGTTTATCTTTTAATAAAAAAGAAACTCCAGCAGACAAAATCTTGTTATTATCTCACAACAATAAAAGAGTTTCATTAAAACTCAAGGATTATATAGAACACATAATAGCAACGTAACCATTGCTTTTAGTTAACAAACTAAGCATGTTATAATGTAAAATAAATTGGTAAGCATTAAATAATTAAAGATAATCTATCATCATCTATCATCATGATTGCTATCATCATAATTTTTGACTAAATGCAAATCAAGTATAGTTTTTGTTCTCCCAAATATCAAAAACAATTTTTTAAATTTTTGATAATATATTTTCTTAAAATTTAATAAAAATATAATATATTTTTATTAATATATTTTTAATTTGATTATTATTTTAATTTGATTTTAATTGCAGTAGACATTTTGACATAGACAACAGCCTTACTTTATTTCATATATCTTCTACGTACTGTGACTGTCGTTTATCTTTAGCGAATTATAATTCCCCAAGAACTTCATGCAATTAAATCCACTGTAAATCAAATTTAAATATTATAACTTAAATGGCGTTATAATCTTTCCAGTACAAATACTAACAATAAAAATCGGAAAGACCACTCCATAAGAATCCAAGTAAACGAATAACGAATAACGATATGACAAAGTTGTAAAATAATTAAAGGGCGTGCATATTGTGATATTCTCCCAAAAGGACAACCAAGTTGCCACCGACAGTAACAATGTTATATGAAAATATAACTATAACGTGTTGTAGTTCTCTGCCAACTGCAACACGTGCTCGTAAGTATTATTTATGCTAAAGCAATGTAAAAGGAAAGTCAAATGCCTGAAAGTGTTCTATTTGCAATTGGCACCTGCGATTCATTTACTAAAGTCGCACCGTCTAAAAGGATTTAATTTCTACAGCAAACAAAAGAACTTAATACTAACCTTTTCTACTGACACAAACTGTCACGGAATCGCGAGGACATATTTAACTGTACTTAAAACACATATTGCTTAACAAGTAACTCCGGACTATAATGTTAGGCCTCCACAAAATGTATCTGAGTTGATAAATTGCAGCACATAAAATGCACATTAAAGCCAGCACGACCACAAAAACCACACCGGTTTCAGATGCTTAAACACATGCTTTAAGTCACTGGGCTCTTTATGGTGGCGCTCCAATTTCAATTTGGTGCAGTGGCGTTACCACAAAACCAAAACACGAAGCGCACTGCAAAGGCGAACAGTGCTCAAGTCTACAACTAAATTGATTAAAATTTCAAAATTGAAAGTTAAATTAATGTAAAGAATACTGCGGACTAAGAAATATGTTTTTCGCCTTAAATTGACAAATATAATGTGTAGCGGCGCCTCTGCACAAGCAAATCATATTTTTGTATACTTAAGGTTTACTAAGACCCCATCTATGACACGAGTGTGTCATAATCCCACTAGCGTATGTCTGTCATAAACTTGTTGAAATTTACGTGGTATTGAGTATCTAGTTTCGGGTATCTGTAGTGGAATTTGTTAGTGGTTATTTACCGCATTTAAGTAAATAAACTCTAACAGAATGTTGTCAAATATTACTCGGCTGACGTAAAATTAGAGTTTATCTAAATATCAATTCAAAGTGCTTCAAACAAAAGGAACAGTAATTAATTATTAAGGTTACTTTTTTCTTGCCCAGACTTTATGACGAAAACAAACTATTTAAAAGTTAGACGGATTCGAATAGCAAAGAAAAGACAAGAACAAAAATTTAGTTAATTTATTTAAATTAATTAATTTTATCTGAATTCAATTCATTTTTTATATGCACTAATAAAAATTATAATTAATTGTGACAAATTTCAAAAATGTTACAACAAACCACGAAAGTTTTGTTTGAATTTCTTTGAATTAATTCCATTTCTAAATTTTATCTAAAATAAGTTGATAAATAATCGAAGTAAGCTATACAGTATGATTATACTAAATTTTGTTATAAAAAAAAGAACTTTAATTTTTAATTTTTGAATTCCCGCGCTTATCCAATCGGCAAATTTTTTTTATTTTCACGCTGGTAACACTATTATACACATTTTTTTCTTTTTTGATCAGAAGGTATACTTTGTTTAACACTTTCATCACATTTAGCTTACCTGTATTACGCAGATAATATCTATGTAATGTTTCACAGTTTTGCTCACTTTCTTAAATATTTAAAGAAATGTTAAAAATAAGTGAAGTTTACCTACTCTAAATTACCGCAACTGAAGTAAAATTAATACGATTGAATAGCTCAGAGTTAACTAATGTCGAAATAAGAAGCTCAAACATAAATACTACTAGACTAGTAATCAGTATGCCTAAAATTAAATTAGTACGTCTAAATAGCTCACACTCAATAAATCACAAAACGGAAAGCAATTATTCTACAAGACAGCAGAAGATCTAGACGCCTACGTACCATATAGAAGCAACAAATCGAAGCAGGACTACAACTTTATTTAAAAATCTGGGATTAAGTTAAGAAGGTGGGCGTTAATACAATTTAATTTATATTACTTTTCATAGGCCTAAGGTACGAAATTTAAAAAATTAAATATACATATAAATAAATATCATAAATGTCTCTAATAATTATAGACAGTTTACGCTTTTCGTATGAACATGCAATATTTTAAAGTATTTATAAGAATCAAATACATTGCTACGTATAATTATTGACTATCAAAATATAGTCAAGTGCGAAAACTGAAATAAAATTTATTGGTAGGTGTCTTATTACACTATGTGTGGAAGATTTAAAAGTTCAAACCGGAAGTCATGGCTCAAAATTTTTGTGTCATTAATTGTAAGGGCTTAAGTCAAAACTAAGTGCTCCCAATAACTCTCATGCAGTCAATATGATAGAGTTGTGGAAAGATTAAAACTTTTTTTTAGTTATGTAATCTATATAGAGTAAATGCCTTATTTGCCAATATTATAAGAAGGAAAATTTATAAGTTCTACTAGAAACTGAAAATGCTTAAAAGAGAAGAGCCGTCTTCCCATTTTTAGAGTACTTAATTGTTTTCTGAATCAATAATACAAAGTATTTACAAGGGAATCTATTGAAACTTAAAAATATATGCGTTATATGTTTATGTATTCATTGCAGAACAAAATAAATATTCATCGATTTTAATGCAAAACTTGTTCATCTTCACCGCAGTTTACATACTAAACCCAAAGTACACATCTAGGCAGTGGTACCCACATGTTGTGATTACAAGATTGATTGATTTTGATTCGTCTCCTCACCGTGTAAGACAAAGTTTGAAAGTAAATATGAAAGCTTCGAAGCACGTAAATAAATTTTTTTCAACTAAGAATTTGGCATATATCCACATATCAAACTGAACATGGCAAGAAAATTGATGGATTAATTCAATTTACTTTGACTAGGGGATTTTCGCTTTTGCTTTTTAGTATTTGTGCAGCTTTTGTATGGCTAACTCACAGTTGAAAGAAATACACAGAAAAGATTTTATGATTTTTGTTTCGCGCGAGTATAAAACTTTTTATATCAAAAGAATTTCTTAATGAACAAATTCATTGAATGCCTCACTAAGAGACTCTGAACAAACTTATTCGATAATTTGTGAATAACACACATTTAATTCAGAACGATCTAATTGTTTTATATATGAATTTCGTCCGTGTGGTGTACATTTTTATGTACAAAAATTGATACTTTGCAAGCAATTAAGATAACATAAAAAGTGAATTAATTGTATTTTATTAGAAATACTTGAAAGTTGCTCTAAAAATACAATTAAGACAACATTTCTGAATTGGATTAAAATTGTATAAGAAGATTAATCTCATCATCAATAAAACAATTTTGTCTTTAAAAATTAGAAGTGACTTCGATTATTATATTAATTGTATACATGTCCTTAATTAATTAAGGACATGTATTAATTGCATACATGCATGTCCCCACTTGTTCTGCAAATTCAGACACAAAGCTTCATCAATGTTATCTACTCATGCCATAAAATTATCATGGAATAATACTGAAGTCTTGATACTTTATTTGTCAGAATTTTCTTAGCAGAATTTTTCTAAAAAAAGCACAATAAATTGAAAAGCTTGGGTTATTATTTATTATAGCAATAGCAATAATACTCAAAAATAACCACGAGATGAGTAATACATTTAAGTTAGGTAAATAGAAATCCACAATCAAATTTTAGTAATATAGACATGACGGTGTAAAGGTAACATTACCTAACGGAGAAACTAAAGTTCATGTGATGTTACGACACAATCACGGCTTTATTACGGCTTTTATTAACTATCCAAAAGAAGTATACCATAATCTGTTAACATCGATCAGTTTCGGATATTCAAGAGATTTTTTTTTGTGGTGAGAAGATGAATTGCTTTATGCTCTGTCAAACCGACTGTCGTCGGAATAGTGTGTCCAACTCCCTAACATTGATATGTAGCATACGGACTAAAACATCCCTTTGCATTTTCTTGGTGTGCACTATTTATTATTCTAGTTTTTAGTTCTAATTTCTTCGTTTTAAGGATTTGAATCACATATGATATATATTTCATATTATTTAATATATATGCTTAATGCTGAGTTATCATATTTCTTAAAAGGTTTTGTATTGCAATATAAGATTCCCGTAAGAATTTGTCTTTGTTGTGAAAATATAACCGAATATTTATTATTCTATTAAAATCGGCTAGAAATCAGAGCCGAAAATATATTATTGTATTTTTATAATACAATATTACAATATCTTCTAAAAATTAAACTTCAATAAAGTACATTATACATAAAATGTGTTAGGAAAAATAATTTATATTAGTTAATTTTTAATAAATGATATATGTATTTTTGTATTTTTTCTAACAGTGATTTAATATCTAACAAATATTTTTTAAATATTTTCAGTGACACCTCGATATCAACTCGCGTGGATATGTTAACGCCTGCAATCGAAGTATATAAACCACCTCTCTGACATAAGGATGACACAGTGGAAAGCAATTTAGGTAATCCTTCAACTAGTAGCGGCTTCTAGCACAGGTTTACTACCACCGCAGAACTTGCTAGGGATAATCTATATGTTCTTCCATCATAGTGTCAATCGAAGTAAACTATTATCACAATATAACAACAAACACTACTACTATTAATATCACTGCTGTAAAAAACGTTTTAACTACAGATGCGTAGTAATTCTGAAAAAGTGAAAAGTTTAAACAGGTAAAATTTATAAAATCTGTCAGAATGTGGCACCAAGAAATGCCTGATATCTTTTTAGTTATTTTTTATCACAATGGCATAAATTCTTAAAGCCAATGTTGCAATACAAATCGAAAAAATTAAACCAACGTCGTTTTGTAAGCAATAAAATTAAAATCTCGAGAAAATAATAATGCGACGATCCAACTAAGTAATTCCTAAGATTGATATATGTAATTATTAGAGTATAAAATTAAAAGAAAAATGATTCACAAATAATTGTAAAAATATAAGTATAATACAATAATTTTCAGAGCATGAAAATTAGAAATCATTGAAATTAATAACATTAGTTGAAATATTAGCAAAGTCTAATTTAGTTATAATAAATTGCATTGAGTAATTTTTGTACTGCTGAGAAAAATAAAAAAAAAATAGTATACCTAAAGAAATATTCTTAAGTGTAAAGTAATTTTAGCTAAAATAAGTTTGAACAACAAAACTATTTTTAGAGAACCCAATATGAAATTTATGAAAAAAATAAAATATTTAATAAAATCCATCCTTAAATACTGATTAGAAAAAATGAAGCTAATAAACTAAATTGTAAGCAAATAGTTTATAGAAAATTGAAGAAATTTGCCAGGCGCACATTTTGCACATTCATAATTATCATTGATAAATAAAAACATCTTAGGAAATGATTATAAATTGGACAAAACTACTGGCACAGAGATTAATTTTTTAATTTGAAAATTTTTATTACTTCTCCAGAAATTAAATATTTATTTTTTGTTTCATTTCCTATTAACTTAAGGAGTTAAGAAATTCATTTTATGTTCAATAACACTGTACTTCTGTAACCCAAAGATACAGTCGGCTTAACGATAAGCACTACAAACTAAAGCCCCGATATTATTCATTATAATTTTATGAAAAAGAATTCAATATGTATTTTATTTTTTTGGATGCAATCAAATTAGATAATAATAAAACGTTTTATTAAAATTGAAAATTCTATGAAAACCCTGAATATGAATAAATTCGATATTTCGATTTCCAACCTGTATAAGCTTTTACAAAATGGATTTCTTTTAAAATTGCATTTTGAAACATGTTTTATTTAAAAAAAAAATTACAGCATAATTTTCAATACAAATTAAACCTCCTACTTTGTTGATGAACCCTTGACAAAAACATTTATTTTGCATATAAATATTTTATATTTTTATAACAATTAAATTATAATAAAAATATTTAACACAAATTAATAAGTGTAATTTTTAGTTTATAAAATTTTTTTATAATTTTATATGTTAAATAAATGACCTAAGCACGGTAATAATTAAAAAACTTATTGTAAGTTGGTCGATATAACAATTAATTATAAATAATTTGCTAATTCTTTTTAAAACAAATAGTTTACTATATCGCATTAGCCACTTAAATACAATTTATACGAACAAAGGAACAACTATAGTGCATCATATATTATTGTCAATGGAAATTCTTTATTTTATTCTATATAATTTTTGAAATGGTATTATTGCTTATTATTCTTGTATGCTTCCAAGGATATAGCCAGGAACAGTACTCGCGAAACCGTAAGAATAAATTTTTGGTAATTAGAATTTTTTTTTATTTTTAAAAAATGAGAAAAAAATATCATTTCATTGAAATGAGATGTGAAGTTTTGCACAATATATGATAATCATAATCAGACGACATGAACTTAGTTTCACTTGCTTCAGAATACTACCTAAATATACCTTTGTGGAGCAAAGAAGTCATCTTGATGCTAAATTCACTTGCTTCAGAATACAACCTGAACATACCTTTGAGGAACAAAGTAGTTATCTAAATCCATTACCAGACGGGCTTTTCTGTCATTATGAAATATTAATTTCGCTACATTTTTGGCGAACTAAGCAGCAAAGAAAGAATTTTCTATATTCAAACTTAGAATAACCATAAAAATATAACGTTCATCACACTTTTAGTAATTAATTCATAGCCTACCACACAAATATAAAATATCTTCCTAATTTAAATGTATTCATTGTAGTGAAAAAGATAAGAATTAATGATACAAAATAATACACATTTGAAACTAGAAAGACAAATGACGCTTGTCTGAAAATTGTCATATATGTTAAAAATTATGGAGTATTCAAAATAAAACTAAGAAGTAAAGAAATTTCAGTCATTCAGCACATTAACATATATGTAGTACATCGGTATATAATTTTCACAACTTTTAAATATTTTGATCAACTTGATCAGAGTATTCAAAAAGTTAGATAGAATTTCTTAATAAAATTTGATTAACTAATTTGCTAGATATAGTTAAATACCATTCTCTCTAACTGGTTACATTTCTTAACTTTTGATATCTGCTGATTATATTTTGTAGGATGTCTTATTTATTGAGATCTAACTCTAATACAAGCAGATATTATGATAAGAGGTAAGATATGTAATATTTTTTATTTGCCTTTACTTTTTTAATTATCTGTTACTCTGAAGCAAGTTTGGTAGAATAATAATAACTCTTAATTCAAGCAATGCGAAGTTACTTAATATAAACACACATTCTCAGAGTTTATCAATGGTTGTACTTTTTTACAAATACCGTATAAATATTGCATAGAATACACTCCCAATATATAACAATTATCAATAGGCTCACTCTCTAAATATATTGCGCATAACTTCCAAATTTTTTTAGTTTAAATACAAATAATATATTATGTCTTAAAGTAAATAAAAAAATCAGCAAATAATTTACATTAATATATAATTTAATTTTAAATAATAAAATAAAATTTTTATTTGTGCTGTTAAAAATTTTTTAGTTATTTTAATACCTAATTTTGTTTGTAATTTTTATTAAATATAAAATAGTTATATCCTTTGTGCCAGTAAGAAACCTCCTATGCCATTCATACACTCATTTGCATCACAAAAACAACACTACGAGTAGGTATTTTTAAGCGTACTGCATTCTGTAATGAGTAGAATTTTAGAATAAGTTTAATTTCAATATAAATAAAATAAACTCTTTTTACTTTTGTATTATTCATTTATATAATTACTTTTACTTTAATCTATTCTTTTAGTGAAATTATTAATGCAAGAATTCAAGAGAAAGCACAATATTAATACTACATTTTTTGACTGTGATCATTTTATATATAATAAATTTTTATTATATTATGATGAAAAAAAATTATATTTAAAATTAAAAACAGCAACAATTTTGATTAACTGCAACATAAAAGCAATTTTTTTTTATTTGCAAAAATATAACATATTTAAAATACATATATATACATATATGCATATATATGTTCATAACTATGTATATATTTAAATATAATTTGAATATTTAAATTTTAAATTTGAATAAATTATTTAATAATAAACGAACATGAAGACAAATAACCGTTATAGATACAAAATTGAAGATTTAATAATAAAATATTAGTGTAAGGGTTATCATTGTAGAATATAATGAAATTATATATTTTAATATTAAAGAACGTTAATAATTTGTTGTTATAAATAAATGAAGATATTTATATTAATTCGTTTGTATATGTTATATGTGTATACAAAAAAGAAATATATGTGTAAATTGTTGTTGTATTTTTTACGTATGCTCGGTTATTATATTTTAAAAAAATTTATCGAAAAGTTATGAATTAAGTAAATTTAAAAAAATTCATAATTCAAAAGAATATGTTGTATAATTCAAATGTAGAAAGTCTGATATATTACATAATAGTATATATTAATAATTTGTATAGCTTTTATTATATTTGTTTTTTTTTAAATATTTTTAAAATTTCATTCGTTGTTTGATTTTTCCAATATTTATATAATATTTTAAAATTAAAATTTTTCATTCACACAATTTAGTGATTAAGATTCATTACAAACACTAAATTTAACTTATATACATATTATTTTATTTATTAATTTTTTTTGTCTCTTTGTGTGTTATCTTAAATATGGTATATGTAAATCGTATGCTAACACTATATATAGCATTTTTCATTTAACAGTTTTGAAAACACAAAAATCTTAATTTTGTGCTCTCTTTAAGCTTACACAGAGCTGAGAGCATATACAGAACGTGTTAATGCAGTGTAACAAAATTTTTATCATATATTATGCCTTTACCCGATAATGTAATTGCCATTTAAACAATATTTAATTATTAACTCACAATTATCGAATTCATAATTAGGATAATTTACCTCTAGATATCATTCACCGCGACGAACCTAAACAGTTATAATGAGGCATAATAAAACCTGTCCTTTACTTTATGCAATATATCTTTAATATGCTTAATATACTTAAGAATAAGAAATTGTTTTACTTGCCGTCGCCCTGCACTATTAAACCCGTTGTTAGAAAGACTTCTAATTAAGGGCATCTGTGCCCCTCTCTTGCTAATTAGGCTTTCAATTATCGCTGAGGCTTTCATGCCCTAAGACCCAATACTAAAGTATTAAACCTCTTTACAACATTAATAAGGTATTAACAATTATTTACTGTTTTTGACTTTATCGTTGTAAATTGTAGGACTTTTCATGCAGCTTGGCAATTTATTATTGGGTAAACATGGATTCCCTTCATCTTTTTGCGAAGATATTCCCTTATACCTATTTAGATGTCATACATTTTTGCATGACAATTAGATAGACATCCATTGAAATTGTTTTTATATATAAATTTCTACCCTTGTTCTACAGTTTTCTTATTTTGATTCATCTGTGAGCCGGAGTTGCAACTAATAAAATTTGTTCTCCAGATATTACAATCATTGATAATGACTTGAAAGTTTCTGAAAATGATCAGTTTTGAGAATAGTGTATCATTCCTATGTAATTTGAGACAATGAAGAACGTTTTCTAAGTGTTAAAATACTTCAGAAATACTCCTTTATTCATGCACTTTTAGGCTCAGAAATACCGTAAGACAACTAAAACGGATTCTTTCTCGATTATAATAGAAAGTGATGGTATGCTTAGAATCGCTAGTAATGCGGTTATTGGACAGGTTTTTTTACACTGTGATACTGACAAAAGAGACA